ACAGCAGTTTTTTTTTACACAAAAGGCAAGGAAAAGTAAGATTTTTCTAACTGGAGGCTCGTTGATTGTAAAAAGCTTGTGCAATTTATAATCTGTACAGATACATTTACTTAATAAAACAATTAAGTAAAGGATTCGCCATTTCCACTAATTTTACAGTATTTAACAACTTTAATGTAAAAATAATAAAATAATTTAAGAATAACAATTCTTTTAAAAATTCATTTTTCATCGAAAAAGTTTTTTGCCTTCAGACAATATTATGCATATTCATAGAAACAACTAAAAGCATTTGAAATTAAATAATACCTTTGTTTTATTGAGTTTTGTATGTTACAATTCAGAGCAGATTTTTAGGTGGATGTGGTCTGATTTTTAAAAAAACAAAACATGATTTACTTTCCTCAAAGCCTTGTGTTTTTTGCGTGCTTCAACATTGAATTTCTAGAGTTTTCATAAAATTATTTATGGTGTGTGTGTGGGGCATAATATATATATAAAAAATATATTTTTATCATGACTTTAAAAAAAAATAACATATTTATAATAATTTCCATTATTCCTGAATAGTTTCTGAAAGTTTGATTAAAATCTGACAATTATTTCTATTTTTGCAAGATTTTCAAAATTAATGTCTGTCATTAAAAAAAATGCACAAAAATTTGTTATGTTACTTTAGTACTTCCACCAGTGAAGAGAAACAAAGGTTTTTTTTAAACAAAAGTTAGAATGTTCTAAAAAGACAAAAAATTTTTTAAAAATAATTAAAAATACTTTGTTCTTTCCTCTTAATAGTAACATATTGATGATAAAATCTTGATTTTGTCAAATTTAAGGCCGTTTTTATTATGCTATGCTCATTTTCCATTGATCTCATGGAGATATCTAATTTACTTGCTTAAAGAACTTTTAGGTGCCCAGAGAAATATTCTGAGCAAGCTTTTATATGAAGACTCTTACTTCCTTTAAGTTAAAGGAATTTTCTTCTTCTTTTCTTTCTCTCTCTCCTATTTTTGTTTATATCCCTCTACCTTTATTTGCATATGTAAATTCTATTGTTACACTCTGAGCAGGTGTTTGAGTCTTTATTCTTCCATCTAAAAGAGAGAATTGTCTGCTCTAAACTTTCAAGCCGTTGTTGCAATTATCGATTTTGTCAACTTTAACCATAAACTTTTCATGTAGGAAAGCTGGGATAAATTTCCCACAAGTCCACATACACATTTCAGATGTTTTTAAATACACACTTGAAAGGGAAATGTTAGCATACACACATTCAGATGCATTTAATAAAAATGCCTTGAAAGGGGAAAGTTTGCATACACACATTTAGGTGTGTTTATAAAGTCTATGAAAAATGTAAAAGTTGGTAGACACACAGAATGGCAGGAAATGTTTCAGTTCATTAGCAATTCATTTGAGGTGACAAGAGAGAATCCATTCGCCATCTGGCTTTTGTTTTCTTTATGGTTTGTATTTATAGATTCCCTTATGCAAGTGCTGGCTCACAAAAAAGTTTCTAGAATGTAAGGGAAATGCTGACAGTGATTGATTAATAATTTACATTATATTTCGAATACTTTTGAAATGGTACCAGAAGTGCCACTCTGAGCCTTATGCACAAATGACTGATTTTGGTCATTTGACTCCTGACACTTGAGGCAGAAACTTATGTCGACCCGACAATACCCATAGTTTTGAAAATTTTGAAGCCACAAAACTCTTCTTCCAGATTTCGTGGAACACTGTGATGTGTTTTGTGGAGTGATCTGCACTTCCTCTTGTTTTGTTTGGGATGTAGATGATGAAATGTCACCTAAGATGTTGGTGACTATGAGATTGTTATATCTCCCCTACATGCAAGCCACCAATCTGCCACTGGGTGGCATTCCATTAGCATTTACTGCCAGTGTGTTCATCTCGAAAATGTTACCACTGAAACTCTTGTTTGGCAAATTTGTATTTATCCAGTCACAGACTGCATAAGTAGGTTGTCCCATTGTCTGGATGTGGTAAGTAGTTGTATGCTTGACAACTGAAGGTTGTAATAAAAGACAGATTGTGTTTGGGTATTGGGGAAGAATGTGGCTGAATTTGCTTTCTGAGGAAAATGTAGCAGCAATTCCTGTGGTGAGCTGTGCAGTGTGAATGCCAGCAACTTTTCACTTTGTTTCATCATCTGACAAAGTCTTTTTTGCCAAATTTACTGAAAGTCAGCTCCAATAATGAGTATTTAATGTCTGCTACTATAAATACCCATTTGAACTCTTGCCTCAAACCAAGATCCAACCTAAATATTTTCTCACCATATGTCTTACTAGATCCATTTGTTGCCTGTAGTGTATACACTGAAGTTAAGGCATTTCGTTTTTTTATATTAGATATCACTGGTATGACACTCACATGTGTGCCCGTGTCTATAAGGAAATTTTGGTTAGTAGATTTCTTACACAAATAGCATAAGTGACTACTCCATGGTGTTACATAACCAGTCAATAGAGTTGCATTCATTGGCTGGCTGATCCATTTGGTAACCGCAAGGCTTATTACATTTGTGGACATTATCACCAATGGTTTTATGATACTAACATAATGTATCATAAATTTGTTTTGTGTTTATGCCTGTTGGTACTCCTGTTCCTATCTCCAAACTAACTCAAACATGATTTGCTATTTCCATGCCTAATCAAATATTCCATTTGATTGGTTAGTTTAGATATCGCCTGTTTAAGTTGATGGATTTCTTGATTCTTTTACCGGTTGAGAATGTATTGAATGATTATCCTGTCACATGTATGCGATCAGCAAAGTTGTTTAATTCATAATTTTCCATCATAGATGCTACTATCTGTGTAGTAGTCATAGGCAAGGCAAGTGCGTCTTACCCTAGACTGGCAGGGAGGTGGTCATTGTTGTGGCCTCTGCCATATTTTCAGCACTGTTTTATCGCCATCCATCATTTTTTAATTATTATTAAATTAATGTTACATTGTCAGTCATCAACTAATATTATATATTGTGTATCTGCATGGCCAGAGCAGTGCATACTACGCAGGAACCCCCAATAAGTTTGGAGCTAGTTTCAGAAACATTTTTTTGATTTTTGTACTTTTTTACTTTTTTTCTAAGTTATACTGTTAATCATCAACTATAATAATTGACAGGGCTGATCTATCAGCCATTTTGCATGCCTACTGGGGGAGGGGTGCAGAAGTGCTAATTTTAGTAGTGCTTATGTTTTTAAATTGTAATTTTCTTTCTGAACACTTCTTTTAAATCAATGATGAGGGTAATACATCTCAGTAAAATCATTTTTTATTCTGAGACCATCCACTAAGTAGGATTTTTTTACTAATAGTAATACTAACCAGAACTCCACAGCTAGTAATAACCAAGAAAATGATTGCATAAAAAATTAAAACATTCAAAGATTTCCATTCATGAAGTTGAAGAGAGAAAATATAACCGCTGCTTTTTAAATGTTAATCTCACGTTGGTATGTCACCACTTGTTGGGAGAGCTGACTTTCTGAAGAAGTTGTGATAGACTTGTTATTGATAGTAGCAGTGTTTACTAATTATTCCAAGTTCTGTCCTGAATAAAACACTCTTGATCCAACAAGCATAGAAAACAGACATAACAACGCAATATTGAAGTTATACATTTAAACAAGTGAATTTAAAATGAAACTGAAGATAAAGATTTACTTATCAACAAATAAAAATTTATTTGTATGTTTTAGACATTGTGTGGTGAAAAGAAGGGTGAGTTTACATATACAAATTTAGATTTGGTTTTTGTTTTCTTTTTGGTCTGTATTTATGGATTCTCTTAATTAGGTGCTGGCTCTCAAAAAGGTCCCTCAAAAATGTGAGGGAAATGCTGTTAGTGGTTGATTAATAATTTACATTATATTTCAAATATTTTTGAAATGCTACTGGAAGTGCCACTCAGAGCCTGATGTGCAAATGACCGATTTTGGTCATTTGACACCTAACTCTTGAGACAAAAACTTCCAGTCAACCTGACGTTGTCGATGCTTCATTTGTAACACCAAAAGGGAGGAGAGTAAATTGGTATAGTTTACCACTTACCTCAAACCCAGTGTACTTACAGTCACTGTTGCTGATAGGGATCTGATGGGAAGCTGATTTAAGATTTTAGTGACAGTGGTGATTGAAGTTGTATTAATGAAAAAATTAGAAAAGAGTGGAAGGAAATGGTTATTGTTAAGAATATCTCTGACAATAAGTTCATCTCGAAGTTAATCAAATTTTAAAATCACTCTGTTATACTTTTTTAGGATGTCCTTTCCTATGATGATATCAATGAACAGATCTTTTCCACTATCATTTCAGAATTCAGGGTGACATCAACTATTGCTTCACCAACAATTTTTGCATGTTGGTTAGGGTCTGCCAGGGCTATTGTTTTTTCTTCAATATGATGAAGAGATTCAATTTTCTGTAGTGCTTTTGCTAATAAAAGTTTCCACACTACCAGAATCTGTCATGGCATCAACAATGTACCCATTTATTTTGCACTTGGTCAAGGTAACGTCTTTTGTTTTTGTTCCTAGACAAGTAAGACTGGGAGGGTCAGGATCATATAATGCTACCTTGGCCCAATGTCCTTTTTATAAACATTTTTTGCAGTCAGCATTATGGGCTGGACATAGATGATGTGTGTTTCCACAGAAGATGCAAATATCTTTACATCTAGCATCTTTTTGTAATGTAGCTAGATTGGCATTTTCCTCTGAAGAAATTATGGGACCTGTAAGTAATCTTGCTCGTAGCATGCAGATTGTTTTTCTAGTGTGTGTGTGGGTAACTCTGCTGTTGAGAATTTGAAGACTAGACCTGAATAATTTTGGTTAAGGATTATATCTTTTATTAAATCCACTTTAAATTTTGATGGCAAATTATTTTGTTTTATTTGATTGTACCAATTTGAAATCTTATTTTATAATTTTTATACTGTTTTTTTTTTTTTTGTAGCCTACTGTCCTGCTGGTCAATATTACAATCAAACAATGGGATGTGTGTCATGTCCAGTTGGAACATGGAATAATGCCAACCAAACTATGCGTTTCCAGGAATGTGTTTCATGCCCAGAAAATTTCACCACTCCAAGCAAAGAGTCAACATCTGTAAAAGAATGTAGTCAATGTAAGTATATCACTATGTCACTTCCATATTCTTCTAAGCTAAAATGCACCATTTATTCTTTCATAGTTTATTAACTTATATTCAATTATTTTAATTCTTTTATCAAGTTCAAATGATATTTTATATAAGAACATTTTGACCACATTAAAGACATTCTGCAATGTTTGAGCCATGAAAATTAATACAAATATTTTTATTGTCAAATAATTAAATTTTTAAAATTTTGTAGTGAATTGTGCTTCTGGAAGTTATATGCATATGGAGAAATTTGCATGTGTACCATGTCCACGTAACACTTATCAATCAGCCATGGGTCAAACTGTATGTATCAAATGTGCAAATGGAGAATCAGAACCCGGCTCAACCAGTCATTTGGATTGCAAGTGTAAGTAACACTGATCATTGCATATGAAAATAAGATGATAATAATGTCTTTATTTTGTATTTAGATGTTGATAGATTACAATAAAAATGTTGTTTTTTGCTAATGTATCACAATATGGTTGAATTATTACAATATCAAAGAATCTGGTTAAAATTGCTTTAAAAAAAACCACAGGTGTTCTAATATCAAGCAGATAAGAGGTACAATGATTGAAGAATATTCTGTTTCCTTGAAAATCATACTGGATTAGCTATTTGGTCAGAGGCAATGAGATTAGACTATATAATAATAATAGAACACTTCAAATCTACTATATATTGATAAAAATGCAAACAGGTAATTTAGATTTAGGAAGGATTACTGAGAATTCTTGACCTGACAAGAATCTCCTCTCCACAAAATGGTCTTTGGTCAGGTTTTGGGAAATGTGTTGGGCTAAGAACTTTTCACCACCCCATCATGCTAATAGCTCTTATATCTCTTAGATGTCATAATTATGGGGAAAATTTAGTAAAATAAGCTAAGAATATTCAAATCCAAGAGTAAAACCAGAAAGTTCAGTATAAAAACTTGAAATATTGGTAGACTGTTACCATTCAGATACTTAATTTATTTAAAATATTCCAGGTACTTTCTCAATGATATTCATTTTGGTTGGATCCATAGGTCAAGTTATTGGAGAGGGAAATAAAGGACTTGTACCTATATTTGGTAAACAAAGATAGACTCACTGTTATCTTCACAAAATCTATTGAAATCCTAACATATACCAAGTCACAGATTATTTCATATATTTGGGCAGCAATTGTTTTAAAAGTATATTGTTAAAAAAATACACTGTAATAGCAAATAGGATGAATCACAATAAAGAAACAATTCATAGATGCATCAAACCTGTTGATAAAAATAGACATTTAAGATTTATAAAAAAAAGTTTTAAAAATTTAAAAAGTTTAAAACCAATAACCTAATCACCAAAAATAATATCTTTCAGCCCAGCAATACCCTACATAAGACTAATGTCCTTTATGAATTTTTTTGCCCAATGAAAGAGTGCATCAATGGACATAATAAACATATGCCTTTATACAGGTTTTCCATTAAGCATTATTTCTTGTAAACTCATGTATTATTTATCTGACCAAATTGTCACATTATCAAGCACTACAAGAATTACAATTAATACCAGATGGCATCTTTTTAATTATATTGGAATTCTATATAAATTTAATTGTTAAAACAACTAAAGACTATAGAAGTCATTTACATCCAACTTAAGTAACAATTTGTAAATAAAATAACTATTGTTTGAGACTAGTAATTCTTGAATGCATATATAAAAATGTATTGTTCCAAACATGTCATTTACTATATATGTTGTGGTCATATAACAGCATTAAACTTGGTTTCCAAAAAAGAACACTTTAGAAAAAAATGATTCAATCTACTTCTAAGCATTATTGGAAGATTAAAGTTAGTGGTTTCACCCCACTAATCAAATGGGAAATCATCTGTCATCTCAAACCCCCAACAACTTCTGGGATAGATGTGATCTGTGTATACAAGAAAAACTTGCAATAATCAAATACAGAAATACTAACCAGTTGTTAAATCAAAGAAAGGAACTAATGTAGACATAAGAAAAAATTTAAAATTCCCTAAAAACATTGTTTTTTTAGGGTGGGAGAGATGCACACTTGTAATGTTGATTCATTTATATGGGTGCTAGCACATATGGGTGTACATATATTCATGTGTATGTATGTAAGTATGTATGTGTATGTGTGTTTATATTGCATATCGTATGGTTTTATGTTTTTTTGTATATTTCTTTATATGTAGTTGGATCTATGACTGTCTTGTCAATGTCTACAACATTTATAATTCTAAATTAACATCTTTTGTATTATTATCCATACATCATCTTGCTCAGTTTTTATTTTTACTTTTTTATTATTATCTGTATTTATGTTTGATATTATTATCATTATTGTAATTTTTATTTATTATTTGTATTAAGGGACCTTTTATCAGACTAACTAATTTGGAATTGTGTTGATTTGTTCTGCCTAAAATAACAGGCCATATCAGTAAATTTGCTGTATAACCCAATGTACAAAGTTCCACACTTTAAGGAAAAAATTCTTGGCTGGGTCAGTCTATTTTTGGCTTATTACTACCCATTCATCTCTTCCTTCTTCCCTTTCCTTTCCTTACCCTCTCTCTAACTCACTTTTTAAAAAGAACATGATCATCATCACTTTTCTTCTTCCTCTCCTCATTTCTTGTCTTCTCTCTTCCCCCTGCTAATCTAATATATCAGTCTCCATTTACTAAAAGATTTCAGTCTGAAGAGATGAATATATAGATATTCACGAAATAAATTATAACCAAAATAAGATTTTCTTCTTGATTATTATTATAATGCTCTGTAGTTTACATTGGGCTCTCCCCAGATTATTATCCCTACCAGTCACAAATTAGTAATATATAGCTGTGTGTGTGCATGTGTGTCTGTCTGTATTATTGATATATGCTTATTACTCAGAAGTAAAAAAATTTAGTTCATGAAAAATATCAAAATTTTATAAATTTGTTTTCTCTTTTCATATTTATTTTCTCAAATTTGATTTTTGTTTTGCAACTTGATCAACTAGATTCTTGTAAATGAAATGTTATCATTGTGATTTATCTAAATCATTTTACAAATGTTTTTCTTTCCTTAATTAATGATAAATATTTTTTTACTTTTTTGCAATCAGTAAGTTGCCCAGCAGGAACAGAACATAGTCGCAATGGTAGTTGTGTTCCTTGTCTTTCTGGATGGTACAAGGCAGAGCCAAGCATACAGCCTTGTGATAAATGCCAAGGAAACTATACTTCCAACAGTGATCAAACCAAATGTTCTGTCTGTAAGTTAGATTCTTTTTCAACTAAATAGCAATTGATTTATTTATTGGATATGATGAACTTATTTTTAACTTTGTGGTCCATATAATGGAAATGATTAAAAAATTTTTGTAATTATATTTACATTAAATTTATCAAACAATACATGTTTTTTTCAATATATTTATACATGTTAAATAGGACAAAAGTTTTGAAAATGTTAAAATTTTACCACAAAAAAAAAATTAGCTAAATTTTGTTTACAGTTTATGTGCTTTAATAATTGTGGAATAAACTGCATTGTCATGTATGAATACATCTAGATTTATATATTAATAATTTTGATTTTATTGACATTTGGTTAGAAGGAAGTTGCAGTTTCTAAATAAATATGATTATCTGTTTCCTCAAATGTTCTAAAACTTAATGCTGCATAAGTATAAACATGGTACATGGGTGCACATTCATCACTATTTGTTTATCAAGTGCATCTTCTATGGCTTCTGAATTGCCTCTAACCAAGGACCTCATTTAAATCTTTCTCCTGTTTGACTGTAAATCTGTGCATTTGGTTACAGTACAATGTCCAAATTAACAGCACAAGACTGGTTCAAGCACATTTGTGAAAGTAACACCAGGCCTCAATGTTCAACCTTAACTCTGGATGGCCATCAGTGGTGGATAGTGTGCCTATAGCAGATATTTAAAGCCAAACCATACTAAACTGCATAAGAGCTCTCAGCAGACATATGGGAGTAATCTGTTATAGAGTACCTGCACACAATTGGCAAAGTCAGCAAGTTGGACCAATGGGTACTCCATCAATTGAGTGACTTTGATTATCAGAAATGGCTTGATATTGGCAACTTCATTGTTTTTCAACCATTGCATTCCTGCATGGTTTGAACTCCCTGTAACTAGAGACAAGAAGTGCTGTCTCACAGCTGTTTGAGGTTTCCTATAGCCCCTCTGAACTTAAATAAAATATCAATTCAGGTTTCCTATGGTAAAATTTTTTTCTTTCCCAAGTAAAATCATCACAAAAATGGCAAAAAAGTCATTTTGTCACAGCTTATTTTCTCTCAAAAAATGGATTTTCATACTTTTATAGGGGTAAAATATTGAAAAATGACTGTTTTATCATCACCTGAACTAATATCAAGGAAACTTTTGATCTGAACCCCATGAAACTAGGTATTTTCTGAAAGCAAAGGATATATCCTTTCATTTAAAAGTAAAATTGGCTGGTGTAAATGACTCAATTTTTTTTCAGTGGGTAAAATGTGAAAAAAATAGTGAAAATTTTGCTTTTTTTCTTGTTCTAAACAAATATTTCCCCCATTAATGGGAAATTAACCATTTTTTTTTTAAATTCAGAAAGCCTAAATCATAATCAAACTATTTTAGGCATAAAATTGAGAGTTTTAAAGGAAATCAACATTCCTAGGGGGTCAAAATGCGACAAAGTCAATTGGTAATTTTCAATTATATGACTGCCAAGAGTTAAAAAAAATTGACACCTGGCCACGGAAATCTTTAGTAAAAGGCAAAAGATTTATCTGCAGTTCCTAACTACCAGAAACCAAAAGTTTTTTATTTTCCAAAAAATAAGGAAAATTAAACCAAATTGACTTTGACATCTGGGTCAGCCAGCAATAAACGTTAGTTGTAATAAATCCCATCACTCCCAGATAAGAGCAAAGAGTGAAAAAAAAGGGTCAACATTACTAGGGCTTGATATAACCTATGTTTGAACAATGGCTTGATGTGTTTTGTTTTGTTTTTAACATCCCGTGACCCGGGTGATGACAACAACACTTAGCAGACGACATTGTTTTTTTCGCTGCATATCTTTCATCTTTCCCATCGCTGGGCCATTTAGCCGTTCCTTTTATTCAATGATGTTCATGCCAAATGAAAGAGAAAGGAATGACTTTTGAATGATGTTATTTTGAAGCAAAAATAAATATTTTTTCATAAGAAAACGATGATTTTTCTCAGAAAATTGGGCATAATTTCTTAATGCGAACTGCCGAGCAACATTTTCCACAGCCAAATCGAAGATTAATTACCATGTGCAAACAATAGCCGTCTGAATCCTATAATGTCACCCTAAAAGGTCCAGAAGTTTGCTGATTGATCGAAAACCTGTTGCACATAATTGTATTTTTCACGGTCAGTTTCCATTATTTCATCTTGATATTATCATTTTCGGACAGCCAAGTCATCAAGGATTCAGGAAAACAGTTTGGCATAGGTTTTCTTTAAGAACTTTACATTCTATGAGGTGTTTAAAATGTTACTGACGAATGAGATTTTTTGCCGAATATTTCATTTACGCGCCATGTTGGATTTTCCTATATGACAAAAACAAGGCTTTTAAACAGGCGTTGGCCTGTACATCAATGAAATGTGCAGAAGATCATGAACTGACAAAAGAAGCCGGATCACATCTTCATAAATGTTTCTGAAAACCTGAACTTCTCATTGGACAATAAATATTAAAATTATCTCGTATATTTCCACGTGCATTGTTCTCAATAAACAACACAAAACATATCAGGATCTAGACTGAGTTTTGTAAGGCGCTTTCTGAGTGGTTAACAGATGTTAAAAAAACAATTTACCTGCTCACCACTACGTCCGAATAACGTCAACCTAGTTTTTGACCTGACGAAAAAACAATGCTTATTGGAGCCAGTCACGTGATTAAAAAACATATAAATTGAAGGTACGAGCGAACCCAGTCAGTGAGAATTTACGACCAGACCTTTGTTTGGACTGTTTTCTGACTTCCGTTTGTTCCTCATATTGATTGCTTGTTGAACGTCTTTTTGTTAAGTTTGTCTTTTATTATTTTATTTGATTTGTGTTCTTACGAATTTTTTTGAAAAGATTTTGATTTTTATTCTTTTTTTTTTTTTTTACCTCCTCTTTTTTTTTTTTTTTTTTTAAAAAAAAAAAAAAAAAAAAATTATCTACGTTAATTTTTGTTTATTCTTTTTATTTTAAATTTCCTTTCTGTCTTTTTCATTTTCTCTTATTTCTCCTTTAATTATATCTCCGTTTTTTTTTTTTTGTTCTGTAACCCCTGTCTGTGCTTCGTTGTTGCGTTGGCGTACCGTTAATAATTCTTTTTTTTCTTTTTTTTAATACCTTTTAAGTTTTTCGTGTTTTTTTTCTTTTGCCATTTTGTATTGTATATTTGTCTAATTTTTTAAACCTTTATTTACTGCCTATTTGTACATATATTTGTCCATTTATTTTGTTCTAACGTTTTTCTATTTATTTTCTATTGTTTATTTGTTTTGGTGTCGGCCATCTTGTTAAATTGTAGCTAGCTCTGTATATTTTGCATATTTTCGTATTTTCTTTGTTTTTCCTTTTTGTCTAAGCGTTTTTTTTTTTTTTTCGTTTTTCTTTTTCTTTTTTATTGTTTCGCCGTTAGGCGAACCTTTTTTGTATAATATTTTACGTGTTTTTTATTTTTGATTGTTTGTCTCGCTTCCGGGTGAGATTTGTGTTGTTTTTTTTTTTTTTTTTTTTTTTTCACCCCTTTCTCCCTCCCCTTCCCTGTTAATACAAAAATATGGAAAAGAAGGAAAAAAAAGCTCCTTCCTTTTTAGTCATAAAAAAGAAACACAACTTAGCAGACTACAGAAAGTCTATAAGAAGACACTTATTTAACCCCCAAAAAAAGACCCCTCCAGATAAAGACAACATCAATGAATACCCAGCCCTAGATCAAATTTCCCCTAGCGAGGATGACATCGCTGGAAAAAAGATTCACTTTCTTTAAGTATGGAGGCCGGCAATGGCGATAAAAAAAGATGAAAAAAGTCAAAAAAAAGTATGGAGGCCAATAATAGCCATAAAACCCAAATTGACTCGAAAAGCCAAGAATGGCTCAAGAAAGCCAGGAATAGCTCTCAAAGTATTAGACTGAGGCCAAGAGCTACCTCACCTTGTCATTGGACTCTTAGAAGACCCCCAGGAACTAAGTTGAAAAACGAATAGTTCATTTTTTTCACAAGCGTACGCGCAGAATTTGTCGCTCGACAAAAGACACAGTGATAAAATCACTGGAGTCCTTGGGGTTCAAGCCCCTTTGTCATAGAAGGTGGGGACGATTGTTACCCACACCGGAAGATTGCGTGGCAGCGTCGAGCAGGGACTTAATCACAAAAGATTTGATCCTGCGGACGGAATACTTAGGCCAAAGAAGGACCAAGTTTCAATATACGAGGTCCCTCCTCAGGTTCTCGGGGAACATCTCGCGGCCTACCTGTCTCAATTCGGTGAAATACTGACCGCATCTTGCAACAGCCTGAGCAGGGGGTGGAGTTTTGACATTCGTTTAGATCAAAAAGCATTCTTCTCCATCCCCAACTGTCTGGTAGTAGGGAAATTGAAATTGCCGGTCATTGTGACCGGCCGGAAACCGGTATGCTGGAAGTGTGCAAAGACTGGTCACCTTTCCTCTTCCTGCCCAGAGAAGAAGGCCTCTGGAATTCAATCTCCCGTTGACCAGAATCCCCCTCTGACCGAGTCTTTACCTACCGCCTCGCCTGTAATGGGCATGCCAGCTTCTGGGACCGGTAAGGAAAATCCTCCGGTTGGTCAAAAGACCACATTCTCCAAAGAGCCTTCGCCCACTGCTAGTGCAGTTGTGGAGAAGGGGGAGGGAATGGCTAGTTGCTGGTAAGGCCAGAGGGAAGCGCCAGACAGCGGGTCCTCAGTCCCCTGAAGCCCCAAGGACGAAAGGCACTAACAGCCCCACTCCCTCTGGCAACATTAAGGGCGATACTCCGGCCTCCGAATTATCTTTTTAAGGACAAGCAAAAAAATGACCCAGGATTTCTGAAAACCGAAAAAATTAAGGAGCTAAAAAAGAAATTAGATAATCAGCAATCCCAAAATCCAACTCCTTCCGCGTCTTCTAGCCAGTCCATCCCCTCTCTTAAGAAACGACCCTCTCCCCAGATAACTCCATCCAATTCGCGTCCCCTCAGTCGAGATCCTA